AACCCCAACTACCACTCATCCCCCATCCCCCATTGCCCTAGACACAAACAAACAAATCCATTACACACCCAAGAATAAGATAATATAAATAATATAGATATAGACAGCACTTGCCTAATATCCAATATCCCACCTTCAACCCCTCTTCCTTTCTTTCTTGGTACCCCGCACCCCGCACCCACTCACAGTGTGACCTATCCCTTTCAAACATCCATAGGTAAAAAGAGAACAATACCCCTCCTTCATCACGCATTCATCCGCACAACCTCATATCATATCACATCATAACCACAATCCACAATCTATATACAGCATAAACACCATTCCATACCATACCACACGCTTAAACCCCACTAAAAATCCATCACTCCTATCACATCACATCACAAAATCCTCATCATAAATAGATCACAAAAGTCAATTTCGTGAACCAGATCAACAAATAAGACACAAGACATCACAACACGCACCGTAAAAATTTCATTGTATTATATTCCCCTCTTAATTTTTCCATGGGGTATCATGCCCCTATACCCTATCCTCCCCTCCCCTACTCCATCACCACACACGCAATCCACCATGACCATTTCATAACATAAATACAGAGAAGAAAAGTTGAAGAAATAATGGAAAAAAAAAAAAAAAAAACTGGAAAAATTTCTGTATGCAACGCCAAATGTATACCTCAAAGTCATCCACTCTCGAGAATGTTCGTCTTTATTCCGAATGCTAAATGCCGAATGTAGAGCAAGAAGTAAAAAGTAAGAAATGAACGCCAACCATATGCATGTATACCACCCAGTGGAATCCTATCACACATCCCATCAATGCCTTTCAAAGGTTCATCCTACCATGGTGTTACACTGGTGAACTCATAAGTTCTTTCTTCTCTCTCTACTGAAACTCCCTTACGTTCATCACCCTCCGCCTACTCTACTCCATCTTTAATTCGGACTGGATAAAGTCTGACTACTCTCAGATTTCTCATCCATAGCCCAATCCCTATCCCTATCCCTTTCTCTTTCCCTCCCCCTCTCCCTTTCTCTCTCCCTCTCTCTTTCCCTCTCTCTTTCCCTCTCCCTCTCCCTATCTCTCTTATGAGCATTTCCGTTTCCATTCTTAATCTTCTTCCTCTCTCTCTCCCTATCCTCATCTGGTGGTATTGAACCTGGTTTCAGCACTGGTGTTGAACTACCACTACCAGGTCTTCCCAATAATAACTTCTTCTTCTTCTTCTCACTCAATCCAGCAATACCAAGTCCATCCTTGGCTTTCTTAACTACTCCTGCCCCCGCTTTATTAACTAACATTTTCTTCTTCGGTTCAACACTTGCTTTTCTTCCATATTCACCATCTCGATCATCATCTCCCGAATCATTATCATCATCACTATCCGGCCTTTTGTGTTCAAAACTTAAGTTTGAAGAGGGAATTTGTGAAGATGTCTTTGCCATCTTCGGAGCTTTCAGTTTATTCTTCAGAATAATCCCACCCGAGCTACCTGGTTTCTTCAAGAACTTCTTCTTCTTTTGTGGAGAATCGGATTCGAAATCTGGATCATCGGCTGCTTCGCGTTTATTTGGACTAGTTCTCTTCCCTCCATTGGGTTGTGGTGTTGCTTGTCGACTTATTGGTGGTGTACCATTCTGACTATTGTTTCCTGTACCTAAACCATTTCCATTAATCTTAAAAGCTGCTGCTCGTGCAGAATCTCTTCCGCCACCACCGATACATTTCACCATATGGTTATTCATACGTTTAATCGGTAAGAATGTATTGCAATTGTGACATTTGGCGTGAGGGAAAGAAATTGGTTTCGCAGGTCCATCATCTTCACCATCCATACTGTTTGGTGTTCCTTCTTTCTGTTGTTGTAGTAGAGGATTAATCATATCCTTCTTTTTCTTTCCTCTACCTGGCCCTTCTGGCACATACGTCTGACCATAAACATCATGCCATGGTTTCTCAATGAAAGGTTTCTTCTTGCAAAACTCCTTTCCTGGTGTAGGTTTCTTTGCACCCACTCCATCTGTAGGTTGTAGAAGTCGAGGTAAACCACACTTTGCGCAAATAATCTCATCGACCAATTGTAAAGGATTGCCTTTCAAGGTAACTTCTTTATTTTCCCATTTCGCAGCATCGGTTTCTATAATTTGATTTGTGTTCCATGAATTCGTAGGATCGTCTGATGAATCAGGATTGGTTTCCGCGACTTTTTGCTCAATAACAATAGCAGCCGAACATGCTTTTGCAATTTTCTCTTCACGATGAGTCTGTAATACAATATCATGAATGATATTATAGAAAATATCATCAAGTACAGCATTTGCCTATATAGGAGGTTAGTAATTGGTAAGTAAGTCAGGCGGCAACATTTGGAGGGAGAAAAGGAAAGGTAAATAAATTTGAGGATAAAGAAAAGAAGAATTACCAATTTCCCCATAGTATCTATTTGTTCATCTTGACCAGCAATTATTATACCAGAATGTGCAAACTGTTCGTCGGCAGACATTTTGAAGATGTATTTGCCTGTTGTGGATTGATTTCCTTGAAATAATTTTGAGTTCCTCAAATCCCAAGGCTGATGGAATTGTTTAGTTTGGGTAACCTTTCAAATGGGTTTGGTGGAAGCAAGTAAGTAGTAGTAGGTAGTAGGTAGTAGTAGTAGTAGTAGGTAATGACTGGAAGATCTCTCCCACCCTCTCTCAGGAAATGATAAAAAGTATTTGAAATAAATAAGAGACCATTTTATTATTGATAAAGTATTGAACGCGAGTCGAGGTAAAAGAGGATAGAAAGAAAATAGAGACAAGCTGCGGGTGCCGTTGTCGTTGTCGTTGTTCTGAATACCCTCACTTTTCTTTCTACAGTAGAAAATTGATTGATACTATTATCTTCCCTTGAACCTCACCTGGAACTTCATTTCAGGAAAACTGACGAGGTACTTTGAACTTTCACACCAAAGCTCCAATAGTGCTTCTAAATTATTGCCAGTCAATTTTAGCTTAATGAAGTTAGTAAAGGCGGTGAAGAATTGACAATGGCTTGTCCTGACTGTACGAACTGTGATGGATGTTTTGTTGTGGCTTAGCTTCAAACTTTGTGTTTGTTTGAAGTGAAGTGAGAGTGAAGGGTGAAGGGATGTGAAGAGAAGAAAGATAAAAATGGACAACTGTGGCTGGTGAATGATAGAAATCCTTGAACCATGGTATCCGTAATTCCTCATTCCTATGAATGATATTGTTGAGATAACATACTTTATATCATGCGAATGTATTGGCAGGAAAGTCTAAATGACAGATTTCTTTTCTTATTTATAACCTCCTTTTCATATACCTTGACTTCTATATACCATTTCATTCATTTGTCCATTCATTTGTCAATTCACAATCAAACAATTCACTTCTCCTTCTCTTCTGTATCTGTCTCTCCTTAACATCTTCCAAAGATATTTGAACAATGACTACACCAGACATCATGTCAAACAATACCCCTCCACCACCAAGAGCTCAACAATCAACTATTCGATCATTTTTCCAACCAAAACAACCTACATACACTCCACCACCAGGGACATCACCAATCACAACTCCAAATAACAATGAGAATGGAAATCCAAATGCAAGACAAGAGATACATCCACCTCAACCTGCATCAGGTCCACCAAATTCTACCAATATCTCTCCACCAAAATCGGTAACTACCGCTACCCCAGATTCTATAGAGTCTTCAAGGAAGCTTCCTCCAGGTTATAAAATCGAAATCCCACAAGATCATCATATACAACCTCTACGTCGCATCAACGCTTTACTCCTTCCAGTCGCATACCCCGATGCATTCTACCATGCTATTACGTCTCCTCCTTCTGCGTCAATACCAATACCTCTCTCTTTCTCAAGAGTAGTTACATATACATCAGAACCCAACTCTGAACCAAAAGTAGTCGGTTCTATAATCTGTCGAATCGATCCTTCTCCTCCATCCTCTCCGAATGCTCAACCGCCGGCAAATACATACAGTATATATCTACAATCTCTCACTCTACTCTCGCCCTACCGTAGCCTCGGTCTCGCAACCGCTCTCCTAAATTCCGTTATCGAATCCGCTACATCTACTCGAATACCTCTTGGAGTTAAAATAGAAGGATTGTACGCACATGTATGGATTGAGAATCGAGAAGCATTAGAATGGTATAACAAACGAGGATTCGAAAAGGGGGAATTGATTGAGGGATATTATAGGAGATTGCGACCACAAGAAGCATGGGTATTCCGACGAAGATTTTCAGTTCAAGATCATATTTCTAGACAACCACAAGCAAATCTTAGCCCAACCCTAAATTTAATCGGAAGTGCAAGTACGAATTCATCACCTCCTCCTCCAACAGCATCGGGAACAACAAGGCCACTACCATCCAAACATACAGCATCATTTCAAGATCGCAGACCAGCTAGAGAATGGAATGATTTACCCGAAGAAGTATTTTTAAGGCCTAGGGAAGATCAAAGTAAAGAGAGTTCGAGGAGTAGTAGTCGAAGTGGGGGTGAGGGAAAGGGTGGAAAGAAGAAGAGAAGTTATCCTGCTGCTGCTTTTGGGGGCGTTTAAGTGATTTTGGGTGGATGTTCCTGGGATTGGTGATTTGGGAGTTGAGGAGTTGAGATAAAGTAATAGATTAAGCATACGGGTGAAGAAGGAAAGGTAAAGAGAAAGAGAGAGATTCGATATCAGGGAATTTGGGGAGCCTGAGACTAGGTAATAGATGAACAGGTAAAGAAATAGAAATGGAAATAGAAATAAAAACTCAACAGAAGAGGACAGGAGACAACAGAACCAAACTTCACCTCGGGAAACACGGAGTCGACAAGACAAGGAAATCAGGAGTTGGGATCAGGGAGCACGCAAATGGAGTTTTATTCGAATCAGTCATTTGGTTTGGTAGAAGTGGATAATTCCTTCGTGTAGATATTCCCAATTCAGACTCTTTGGCAGGTAAACTTTTAAACTTTTGGATATAACCCAAATGAAATTATTACTTCTGTATGGGGATTTCTCATTCAATACTGTTTAATTATACTATGAATACTTTCTTTCTTTCTTTCTACCAGATATGTATTTATTACCTACTCAAAGTATAAAACTCGATATATTTTATTTGTTTACATTTATCGTATCTAAGAATTTCTTTTTCTCTTCCCTTCCTTTCATCCTTTCACTGCAAAAACAACTCCCATTCTCATTCTCATTCTATTCCCTAACTCTAACTCACAGTACAGTTACAGTATCTATAACATCCCTATCCCTATTCCTATCCTTATCTCATTTCCTCCCTCAGTTCGCTATGTACTCTCATACACTCAAATATCTTTCTTCCCCTCTACTTTCCGCTCTATCATCTTCTTCGCATCAATTCCATCTCTCGCTTTCGACTTTGGTTTACTAATAGAGAAACGAAAGAAATGATCTTCATCTTCATCCTCCTCCTCATCATCATTTTCATCCTTTTTTCCTTTTCCTTTTCCTTTTCCTTTTCCTTTCCCTCCCTCCTTCTTCCCTTTGATATCTTTTCTCGAAGGAGTCATCTCGTCATCTGCTTCACTGCCATTTCCATTCCCGTTTCCATTTCCATCTCCATCTCCATTATCTTCAGGCCAGGAAATTGATCCATCGGAGAGGATTGAACTACTTGCGTTTGAATCCCTTCTCCCATTATTCGAGTCTATCTCGATTTGATTTTCTTCTTGTTTTATCTCCTGCTTTGCTTCTCCATTTTCAAGAGATGTCTTCCCTTCATTTATTATTCGGTTCTCCTCTAAACTCTTCTTTTCTTCCTTCTCTTTTTCTCCACCCTTGATATTTTTCCCCTCTTCCTTTCCTTCCTCATTCTTCCCCTTTTCTTTTCCTTCCTCCTTCTTCCCCTCTTCATCCAAGCTCCCGTCCTCAGTATACCTCCACATAAGCCCAAGCTCCCCTCTAACAACCGCCGTTCCCCATAAGCTTCCCACCACGCCAGGAACCAAATACAATAATGCTGGTTGGGCATGTTTAAATATCCTCATGACAATTAATGTTGTGATCATTCCTGTGATGTATCCTACTATTGCAGCTTTGAAATATGGCTTGGAGAAACGGGTTCCTTCAATTCCTGTTCCACGATTTGAGGAAGATGGTGAAAAGGATGAAGTCCAGAATCTTTCACCCCAGAGACCAGTTGAGGGTTTGTAGGTAGTCTTTTGGATTGAAGATGGTGCTAATGATGATTCGGTGGTACTTTTGCTACTTGAGGTTGTGTTTGGCTTTGAGTTCGCGGTTGAGATGAATGGAGAAGACTTTTGTAAATACAAATAATGTAAATATAAATCAAATCTCAAGGCCAATGCAACAAGTATACCTGGTAAAACAATATCACCTAATCCCAACATACTACCCCCTCCTCCGCTCTTATTTAATGGAAACACAAGTTTGATAGGAACATCCAAAGACGTCGCTACGGTTACCATGAGAGGTGTATAAAACACCATAGTGATATCGTAAAAGAAGAGTCCCATAAGGACTAAAGTACCAGTGAAGAATGTAGTCGGAGACAAAAGTTGAAGAGATCCATAACAAAAAGCGAAACCCATTACATTTGTAAGATACCATGGGGCATTTAGAATATTGTAAGCGGTGACTGTGGTGATACCTATTCCGAGACCTAGGACCGATGTAAATTTAATCTGAGTTTTGGAATGAGGAAGTAAAGTTTTGATGTAAAGATTCAGAGAATAAGTTGTTTTTAACAACCCACGAACGTTCCAAAGTGCATTCGTGATCCGTTCAGAAAAACGAATAGTTGAAAGTCGTCCAGGAAGAGGATTGGTAACACCAACCACCTTGATCGTCTTTCCCTCCTCATCTTCAATAACTTGACATCTCAAATCCTGATCGAAATAAAAAATATCCTTCCCTCTCGTCCACACACTAGGAAAAATAAATCCAACCCCCACATCCAAAGAATCCTTCGCCAATCTTCCAACTCCAAAAACACCCATACCAGAAAAATACCATCCCAATATCTTATTCAGAATAGCTGGATCATCCAACCATTTGATAATAAAATACAAAGCCCCAAGAACCCCACTAGCTAAAACAGGAAACATAATAGCATCATAAGGGGTAAGACCTTCCATTGGAGGTCTAGATTCTTCTTCATCTTCCGAATCCGAGTTTGCGAGACGATGAGAAGATGAGGAAGTAGATTTGGGAATTGGAGAAGCGGAAGGAGGTCGTTGGAGTGCTGCATGTGATCCAATGTAGATTGGGAAGAGAGCTGCGAGGATAATATGGATTTGTAATTTAATTATTTCTCGTTCTGTATAGATTTTGGTGCCATATTTGACTAGGAAATCTTTGAGATTATCCATTTTGCGTGAGGTGAAGTTGTTTGATTTTGAGATTGAGGAAATCGTGACCAATGATGGATAGAATGGGAGATTGAAAGTTGAGTTGTACGGAGTATGATGTTGAAAGTAATTTCACCGTTGAAACCAGTTCATTGTTTTGAAGTAGGTAGGTAGATTCTTTTCTAGAATGCTAATAATCTTTCACTCTCGAGGTCAGAATTTTTGATTCCAGGTGAATAATTTGTTTGAATCACACAAAGATATTACAAAAATAGAATTATATAGTTGTGGAATCTTATCATGAGAGTGTCTTTAAGAGACAGTCGTGGTGGGGACGCTAGACAGGGATATTGGTAGGCAGGCCTTTGAATAGTCGAATGATCGACGCGACTGTGTTACATTTATTCGATCTAAATATATCTACAATATTATGATTTGTAGATTTAAAAGTTTGAAAACTATAATAGAGCGAGGGATTTGATGTTTGTAATTCGATAAAGTAAAAGTTCTAGGATCTACTCGTTGTATATTCAGTGGTTAATATATTATTTATATTAAATTAAATTTAAAACTTTAAATAAAAAAATTAAATAAAAAGTTATAGTTTTATAATGAACTTATATACTTTCATAATAAATATATTATATATTTAATCTGAAATAAGAAGTAAGAATTTAAAGTTAATTATATAAATTTTCCAGTATTTCAATATTTAAATTTTAATATATTAAATATTTATTATATATATAAAGGATTTTATACTTTTTTAAATAATATTAATATATAATATAACTTTTGAAATTCCTTTAGAAAATCCGTAAAGAGGTTTAAAGATATTGATATCATATAATCTTGAAATCTTATCTAATTGTAGAATAATAATACCGTCGGATAACTAGATTGTAATTGTAGAGGTTGCCCATCCAGAAAACAAACAGCAAGGATTTGACGAGGCGACTAGGTTAAACTCTCTCAGCCTTGCAGAAAAGTAAACATTAAATTGAGCCTTCTTGAATCTTTGTAGGGATGGTTTCTGCGTACCTGTAATTGATACTGCAGTTTCGAAATTGATCATTGGATATATTTGATCGGTTGTACATATTCAAACATATACAAGATGGCAGTAAATATTGCCTTAGAAACTACTATGGTAACTACCCTCTTCCCTCTTCCCCTCTCCCTCACTCTCCTCTTCCCCCCAATCCTCTTTCCCCTCTCTATCCCACCATCCCACCACCCACCCACCAACTAACAGCCCCAGGGCATCATAACCCTCGAACTCTACACCAGCCACGCGCCCAAAACCTGCAAGAATTTCGAAACCCTCATCCGACGCGGCTACTACGATTCCATAATCTTCCACCGAATAATCCCAAATTTCATGTTACAAACTGGTGATCCGACTGGTACTGGACGGGGAGGTACATCTATATATGGTGAAAAATTCGAAGATGAATTAGTTGCGCCGACTGGTTTGCCGACTTTAAAACATACTGGAGCGGGAATTCTTTCTAGTGTGTTTATTTCTTATCCCTAATCTTTAATTGTCTCTCTTTTCTTCCACTTCCTACGTTCCATTCCCCTCCTCTCCTCATCTA